ACCTCTTTCCCTAAAACAATGTGTGACAATTTCACTGTATGGGTGAAAATAGATTGATTTTATGAAAAGCTGCTAGGGCAAAATCAGACAAAAACATGTAATATTTTAAATTTGTTAAGTTTTGAATTGGGGTAATTTTAGGTACAGGAAAATTAGAAATAACTGTTACCTTTAAAAGGTGAAATACCATCATAGCTAATATGATGCCCTACAAAAATGATGTCATTTTTGGTTGATAACAGCCTCAAACAAAATGTGCTTCACCCATTGCATACGTCTTTACATTAAATAATTGGCTACGCAAACAAAATTTAAATCGTGCACCAGCTGTTTAATGACCATCTGGAAGGAATGCACCTCGTTACTTAATCTGAAAGGAATGCGCAAAACTTCTAAAAATGCATATAAGTTAGTAATGGGAATATTCATGATGTTCTACCAGGATCTGGCGATCTTGGCCGATTGCTGTGCTATCGTGGATATGGGGCATAGAGTAGTTATGTAGTTTTGTGACAGTTGAGGGCCCTACAATAGCCACAAGCCTGCCAAGTGACACAGCTTTTAAGAACTAGATGTATTGTAGGAGGCTAGTTCACTGGTAGTCATATGATGTGTAATGTCATGGGACAATATTTCTTTATAGGAAAACGCCTTTGTAATAAAATATTATCTAAAAGCTTACCAAAAACAGGATTATCTTCGGTATTAGCCACGGTGGAATATAATGAGACGGTATAATAAATATGACATGGCAACCTAATGTAAATCTGAGTATCAACCAGACAATGTATGTGTAGAGCAGTTAGAAGACCAGGTGTGTTAAAAAAGTAAATGCCCAATATACATTTTCCACGTTCGCAATTACAAAAAGGTGGATGAAAACCCGGCGTAAACAAATTCAGAGACAGGCGTTTTATAAATGACTTGAAGTTTAAGGCAATTTTACTGATCTGCCTTAGTAGCAGGAATTAAGAAACCTGTCTACAAGAAGTTACACAATCAAGAACAGATAATAGACGACAGGTACATCAATCGTCGACGGCTTTTCTATAGAATTTTTCAAAAGTGCAAGGCATTGACGAACGGACCTTAATTTTTGTGTACATAAAATACAGGATTCCTCTTCCTCGACTTCAGGGAGGACCCCCCACACACACACACTTAAAAAAATGACTGAAAGAATTCTCGTCCAGCCTATACGTTTTCTAACCTCTCTTGCATTTCCAGAACTTTGGCCAGAGTGTCTGGCTCAGAATTATGGCTGCAACATTTTTCTCCAGTTATAGAGTTCTGTTATTGAATTATTCTTTCAACTTAATGACGGATTTTTTCCCCGGCCTGAAGATAATGATAGCTCTTACTTGCTTAACAAGTTAACAAGATTTTTTTCTGATGAATTTGAAGGAAAATGTTTTATTAAATTATGCAAGCACCAACTCAAAAAACTTATTTTTTGCGTTTTATTGGATTATTTATGGGAAGGATATATTGCATAATGTTTTATTGAAATAACGCCTTCAGGGATTTTTTTTTTTTTGTAAAATAGATTTCACAAATTGTATACGAAATATCGAAAGTGAAACAGACCCCATATAAATATTTCAACAAAGATTTCTATCTAAATGACCTATTCAGTATATATTACTGAATGAGTACTGAAAATTTCGTTTAAATAGAATAATTCCCTGATTTTTTGTAAATTTTTTAGAAACAGTGGGTAGCAATTTTTTTGTTTTCACTTCAGAAAAATACGCATCCGTTTTGTTGTTGATGGTACTTAAAAGTAAAACCAACAGCAACACTAACTGTTCGGTTAATGAATACCAAATGCTTCTTGTATAGAAGCGGATAATTTCACTGTTATCATTATTTTAAACTATGTAACGATTTCTTCTAAAAAAAAAAAAAAAATCGGTGGAATATATTTACGAATCACCTAATTTCGTATTTCTTAGAGATGTCTCACTTTTTTTCCCTTCGAAACATTTATGCAATAATTGGCTTCCCATTTTGGTCCAATTGTCTCCCTTAAACCATGTAGTACACAAGAAAATATTTAAAACTCTATAACAGTGTTTCCAGCGTGGGAGCTAGCGCCACCTTGTAGGCTCTGTTACGTTGAAAGGGATCACAGAGTTGTGGGCCATTGGCTACAAAAGAAAATTTCCAAAGGGTTATCTAAAGCCATGGGAAGCTATCAAACTTTTCTTCATTGCTTTTCCAACTTCCTATATGGCTGAATGTGGTTTCAACACAGTTATACAGCTTCTTACTAAACAAAGAAACTGCCTACAAATTACAAAAACGAGATCTATAATTCCTTCTAAGCAGCAGAGTAAGAGCCTAGCCAGTAAGCACCAAAGTCAACCATCGCATTGAAAACATTTCATAAGCTAAGAAATAATTTTTTTTTTAGCATTTTAATCATGGGCATTTATAATGAAATCATTATTAAAATTATTTTTGCACTAATTCCTAAGTGTTATCTTGCTATGAATGATGGATTCAGTATAATATTCAAAATTTAATTTGACATGGAGGTGATGACAAAACTGGTTGAAAAATGGTTAGGAAATACTGCTCTATAACATTGGTTTTATAAATTATGGTCTACCTGGGAAAATAAGAAATTGTTCATGCATAAATCAGTGTGGAAATAAACATCATTAATATCATTAGTGTAATGTTGAAAAGGAACCTGAGTCCTCAGTCAGTAATTTCATGCACTCACCAATGTCTTACACATGCATTTATCATTTGAAATTGTAAATTGTCAAATGTATCTTATATCAGTAAAAATTGCCAAATTTCCAAATCTTTTCCATTTACTGTAATATTTGAGGCAACTACAAAAATTAGTTATAGACACTCCCTACTGCAAACAGGAGAATCTATCCAAAAATTACAAGAATCCTCCTCAAAACTTGCAATTTAAAAAAAAGATTTATTAAACTAAATGTGTTATAATTTTTATTCCATTTTCAATCTTTCTGTGATAGTATGTGAGTCTCTTGATCAACATGCATTTTATAATTTCAGATTTTGCTAGATTGAATTCAAATGGTTTTATTTATAGTAAGAAAATTTCTACATCAAACAAACAACTCAACAAAAGGATAAGAAGATTAAATATTTTTATGATTTCAAAAAAAGGATAGTTGTAAAAATAATGGATGTTTTTCAACACTCGAATAGGTAAAAGGAATTGGTTCATTAAATTTTAGAAAATTACAGCTTAGTCATTGATTCCTGTAATATTTTAAAATTTTGAAAACACTAAGTCGTCTGGTTGGGTTATGTTGCTTGGCCCATTTTATTAAAATGTGCCCACTTACATTATAAGAGGTTGTTTTAGTTTAGACTTTACAGCTTAAGATTAAAAGTTCCACAAAAAAATCTTTGAGCTTTTTATTAAGGACAAGAATCTCTAGCAATCAAATCTCCACTGTCATTTTAATGAGTTATTAAAATCACATACTACCTTACATACATATTAGTTTTAATCTTATACCCACTTCTATCATATTTTATGAAATTTACATTTTAATTTCATATTTTCATTCAATATTTTTTTAGTTTTAGACATACTTTGTATTATTTTTATTATTCTGTTTCATTCAGTAAATCTCATATTTTGCATTTCTTTCAATTCCTCAATTATATTTTTTTAACATTGTAAAAGGGCATAAATTTTAAGAAAAAAATAAACAAACATAGGTTATTTTCTTATTCTGCATTTTATTATAAGCACATAATTACAATTTTTTATACCTCTGTAAAGCAACACAAATATAACATTGATGTAATAATTTAACTAACATTCAAATGCAATCTGGTGTGAATTTAACTGAATTATAAAAATAGTAATTGTTTTCAGTATTACCATTTTTTAAATATATATTCACACAACTAAAAACAATCTGGCCATATTTGGTTTATTTTATAAGCATTACATGTGACATGTCATAGTGTACATAACTATTGTATGAATAATCATGTCAGAACATAACACATATAACCTATTATATGATATAAATGTTGTAAGTCACATTATAACAACTTGTAATAATGCATGTCATAACATACATTGTCATAATGGGAATGAAAACAGAAGATTCATGAGACATAAATTTGATGTTTTATATAACATACATATAAGTTATAAGCCAAATATATTATCAACGTCTTAATTAAGTACATGTGTATGCACATCCACATGCACACATATATTATATACACACACAATTATAAACATACTATCAATAATAAATGCAAATATATACATAGAATCAATTACAAACATAAATTAAAAATGCAATGATTAATTTCATAAACTTTACATCTGGTCACATAATTTTCTTATTTCTCTTCATATTTAAAGTTCTAAATAACCAAGACATAACTTTATGTTGGCAACAAATTGTATCAAATATTTCAGAAGATATCTTCCAAATTTTTGATCTAGCACAGCCATTAAAACAAATCTGGTTAAAATCCCCCAGAAAAAACATATCCCCAAAACATGTGTGTTGCATTTTTTCTTTTTTTGTTTACTAATTTTATATGGGAGGGCAGCTATTATGTATATTATCTTAGGTGTAAAAGAATATTTCAATGAAGAAAATTAAGAAAGTCATTCTAAAATATGTCAATTTCTATAATATCTATGTCAATTCTGAAGATTTTTATTTCTACAATTTGAGAGAAAAATTACACAGACTGAATCTGTAACTTGGTTTTATTAATGATCACATGTGAAGCATTTTTTAATACTCTCTAACAAAGAATCATTAATGCAACTTAACCGAGGTTAATAATCAAATCTGGAGGGCACTGGTTCAAACCAAAGTGAAGTAACAACTGCTGATGTAGAATGGTTTAGAAAACTAAAACAACAATAGCAAATTTGCTTTATGTCTTTATCAGCCATTTTGTTTTTCTAGACCAATGGTTGACATTTTCAAGACACTTTGTTTCTACTGATGATTTACTTGTTGCTTTCAACTGGCTACATGAGATGCAATTTCATGAATAGGCGAGATTGAATGCAGCTGAGTGTAGCAGGATTTACAGACCGGAGCATGACGTTTTGGAAAGTGACCGGGTAGTGGCATATGAGCTGCAATGCAGCGAATACAGAAAACTTCACCACATTTCCAACAATGGTACTGAAAAAAAAAATGAATGATGAATAGACACTTGAAGGCATTCAATCAACTTGTTGTGAGATCAATTCGGAAAATATGTCTGATTTTTGAAAATTTATTTATGAATTTATCTGCATGAAATGCAGATTTTTTTTGAAGTTATTAATAAAAGAGAATACAAGGTCCTTTAATTTTTGTTAGTAATTAATGTAACAATGAACTGAATGAACAGTTTTCTTATTTGATTTCAGACCTAAAAACAGAAAATTAAATTCTAATTTAAAAATTTAAATTGCTTTCCAGCTGAGAGATTTTTTTTTTTTTTTTACAAACAATCAATGGCAGACTTGCTTTCTATTTATCAATCAACTACAACTAAGAAAATATGGTGAATGGACTGACAATTCCTGAAAGCTTGAAATTCCAAAAGTATCACCACAGTAAAAGAACAATAACACTTACCTTTTTGGAGAAATGTTCAAAAGAATAAGCACAACTACAATTTTGGACATTTCGTAAAGGTTTCCAATCAACAGCAACAGATGAGAGCTCAACTTGAAATTGAGCTCTTGTCAGTGGCTCTGAATTTCCAAGAACACCAGTTAAAGAAATTGTACTGGAGCCTAGACCATCTTCAAAACCTGAGCGAGAGAGCTGTGAGCTTGATTCATCAAAGCCTGATTCTGTATCACTTTTTCCAGCTGTGTGATTGTTATCAGAATCAAAAGATTTAGTCAGGGGAAGACTGGTACTTGTTAATCTTTCACCACAATTTTCCTCATTAGATTCTGCAAGTAACACACCATCCAATGAATCCATGGACAGAAACCCTTGCAGTTTACGTTGAATAACATCCTCTGAAATGCCCATGCGTTTGCACAAGTCATTTATGCGCTGAAATGTGAAAATTGTCTTAAATGGATTTTCAAGTTTTAACACTGCATGTAATTTAATAAAATATTCCAAAATCATTTTGTTCCTTGAAAATACTTTGTGAAATTCAAAAAGCATAATATTAGTTGAATAAATTTGTTTTTGAAAATAATGTTCAAAATAGATTTCAGATAATTCAGTGATACAATTAAGTTGTTAAGTTATTTTGCATCTATGAAAAATATTGAATGCTGAAGGATTTTCAAATTTGAAAGCTAATAATTTTTCTTTTTAGATGCAATTTAAAGGCTCTTTTTTATATGGCAGTTTAGAATATTTTACAGGATGTTACTTTTAAGGGATCTCATTTTGCTTAGTATATTTATCAAACAAGAGACTTAACAATCAGCAAAAAAACAAAACAAAAGCTTTCTCTAATCAGAAACAATTACAAGCATGAAGCAAGTTAAAATATATTTTCTTGGGCTCCTCTTTTTATTACCAATCTCTCTACATGTCTTCATATTTACAATAAATAAACCTCATGACATCCTAAACACCAATCAAGGACAAATCTTACCAAACTAATCAACAAAGAGTACTTCAATAGTGAAGAGCTCAATGCAGTGAGCTTGATCTTCACTAGTTACCCCACACTTGTAACCTTTTACCAAACAAAGCTAATAAGAGTATTTAAAAAGTATTCTTGCTATTGTGTGCAAGATCTTTTAAATTTGATATGATTCAATTTAGTACTAAATCTTGTCTTGATACCTTGTTAGTAATTTGAAAAATATTTTTTCTGCTCCCTATCAGGTTCTTGAATTGTTAATTTTTACATCAGAGGCAGAAAGTTTAATTTTCATGGAATAATTAAAAGTTGTGTCCAAAAAGAGAAGTTGTCTCTACCTCACTAGAAAATAGACTCTTCCTAGTAAAGAAAATATTTTTTTTGTTTTTTTTTAAGACAAAAAAAAAAAACTTTTTTTTTCTAAATATCCCCTCACCCAATTCAGTAAAATACAGAGAAATAGACTCTTAGTAAAAAAGAATTTTCTAGCTTTTCTTTTAAAGACAAATATCTTTTTTGTTTCCATAATATTTTGTTGTTTTTCATTAGATCTTATATATCCTTTTTAACTATTCAATCATGCATGATGAATGTATATTATTAGTCAGTCAGAGATATTTTACTACTTAACTTGTAAAGTTAGTGCATTGCTGAAAGAATTTAGTTTTAGCCCTTGTAAATGCTTCAAAATATTTTGCAATAAAACAAATTATCTGTGAATGATATTGGAATTTCACAAATATTTTTCAAAAAATGCTTTACAAGTAGAAAGACAGTCATAATCATTTTTTTTTTATTTTATTTAAAATTGAATACCTTAAATAAGTAGATTCATGGATTGATAAATGTATTTTATAAGGCATCCCATATATTGGGGATATTAAAATAACATACTCATTTGATTGGTATATAACAAAGTTTCAAAAATTAAGAAACAAATTTTATCATTCATATATCTAAGCATCAATTAAATTTTAGTTACTTTTATTAAGGCTTATAAGGGTTATTAACTAGGTATTAATTTCAACAATTTTTCAGCCAAATCTCAAATTTTTTAAATGCCATGTCTCTTCAAAACATAAGCAGTAATTGCTCTTCACAGATTTAATTTCTTTATTCTCTGAATTTCCATTAATTCTATATAGCAAGACAGTGGAATGGTTTTCTGTTACCTTCTCTATGGTTTTGCATCAGAGTTGTCCTTATTCTAAATGGAAGAGGACATTTTACCCCTTCTATTTGACTAATAACTGTTGGGAGAACAGCTGGATCCATGCCTTTCCTCAAGAGCATTTATAAAAAGAAAGAAAAAATCTAAAACAGAAACTTGGGAAAATAGGATCTATAAACATTTTATATTTTAACTCTCCTGTTTTGATATTGTTTTACCAGTTAGTACAGTGGTTCCCAAACGGTGCTGTGTGCCTCATGGATGCAGCAGAAGAGGATAACAGGTGAGGCAGAATGATTAAAAGACAAAGATTTAGAAACAGTTTCAAAAATTCATATGCCAAAAATAAATTATAATTTCCAAATTTAAAATATTATTATGGATTACTTGTAATTACATGCATGAGTCCCAGTATGAATAATTATTGACCAATTATATCATTGTGATATTTTTGAATTATATCAAGTATTAAGAATATAATAACTAGGCTCCACAAATTGAAAGAGAGAGTTATCAATGTAATCTTCTGACTTCGAATCTGCAGTTACCTCCCTTTAATTCTCACACTCACTCACTATCTCTCTATCGCATTTTTAAATGTACTTTTTATCACAAAATTTGTGAGGTGCAAGCAAATTTTCATTCTGAAAATGCAGTACATAGAAAAAAGTTTAGAAACTATTGAGTTAGAACATGCAAAACTATAGATAATTCTGATTTTAATCCTAAATTTCAAATTTCTTCTCCCTTATCTTTGAAGATTTTTTTTTCTTAGATAAAAAAAAGCAACAATAATAACTGAGATTGTAAGAACATCTCAATAAAATTATTTTATTGATGAAAACTAGTAATAATGAAAAAGTTCTTAATTTAACTCACTTCCCAAAATCTGGTCAAGTGGCCAAGAATTTCCCCCTTTATGCAAATCTTGACACCATTTATGGAAATTTGCAAAAATGAAGAATTTAACCTAGGTTTTCATTTTTTTTTCAATATAAACACTTTATGAATAAACAAATTAAAAACAATTTTATGATACATTTTTACTTGTTGCCACAATTAGTGATATTGTTTAGTGTAACTTATAATTTTATATTACACCATCTCTCTCTCTCTTTTATATACATACAAAAATTTTATAGAACAAAATCTCAAGAGGATACTTTCCTGAACACTACAATCTTAAACTCTTTGTTATCTTTCGTACATATCCTTATAAGCTGCACTTCTTACCTACTCCTATTGTGGGCATCAACCACATTCAGTAACCCTTTGCCTTGAGTGGCTCTTCGGCCTTGTATTGGATGAACATTAGTAAAACAAAAAAATTTGGTTTGCCTCCAAATATTTTTTTTTCAAAAAAGAAGTACTTACCATTTCAAGAAGTCGTATGTGGTCTTCAAGAGAACTGCTGTGCTCTTTGCCAGAAGCTAAAGTATCCAGGATTTCTTCTCGAGGGTGAACTCCAGAATCAAAACGATTGTACATGCCTCTCCAGAATCTATAATTGGAAAAATATAGAATTTGTTATAATTATTTGAATTTAAATGAATAAGAGGAAATAACTCTATAAATAGCATTTAATATACTTGGTGTTGGAGTGTATTCATAACAAATTAAGGAAATGGAACATCCAGGATTAAATTTTAAATAAAAGTGAATATTGCTTTATTCTTCAAGTTAAAAAAAACTTTAGAGAGAATCTTGCCATGACATATAATTTTTACAGTGAACAACCAGATCATGATAATATTATTAATGATTGTCAGTAAAACTAAGAAGATTTCTGACAGATTATGAAATTTCATTATTCATGGAAAGAGAATAAAGAAATTATACCGTAACGATCTCTCCTGAGTGAACTGCCTCCATTTGCCTATGGTCAGTCTTCCAGTTGTTTTAGGTCAATTTTTATTTTTTTATGTTTTCTCTCTTAAAGACAACTTGTTTGGTTAGATGTTATACAAGAATACGCATTCACACTGCATGTATTAATATGCAAAATTCAAAAATCAAAGCCTTGAAAACAGTTTCAATCTGGAGTTAGGGTTTTTGTTTCCAACATATATAAGTTATATGCCATTGGAAATTTATATGCTTTTTCAATGACACATGAGATAACTTTGTGAGCCATGAAAAAGATGGAATTAATAAGAAAATTTAGGCTGATTATCAATTGGTGATTCATTTGTGGCCCACTCACATTTTGGCAAGGGATTTATCACACCTGATATGAAGCAGTTGTATGATATCTGGTACAATGAAACTTGAGAGTTAATTTTCAACATTTTACACACATTTTAATATAATGGATATAAATATTTAATTACAGAATTTTTTCTTTTTACTGTTGGCTTATAAAATCATTGCTAGTCTAAAGTTGGAGGGGGACTGCCATTTTGCACATAATTTTGAAATACCTTCTATAGGACGGGACTTGGTGATCAAACAAACAAGTTAACACTGAGAATGCTTGATTTTGAACAAAATCCTTTCTAATTTTGAGTGTTAACTTGTTTGTTTGATTTCCACTAGGTGAGTTTTTTATATTATGAATAATACAAACATCATTAAAGTAAAAATTTGTGGAATCTAATGAAGATAAATAACAAAAAAATAAATTAAAGGAAATTATTTACAACTTAAACATGTCAAATTTGGGTTCATTACAAAGCTTATAAAAGTGAAATTGCTGACCCTGACAATCAGAAAAATTATTCATATATGAAAATAGCAGATTTGCACTTACAGGTGAATTTTGCAATCTTTTCTAAAGAAAGTAATATAATTAAAAAATCTGGTATTTTAATATAAAAATATTCATTTTCATTTTTAATAAAAAATAGTTAATTTTAATAAGTATAATTTCTCAAATTTACTCCAAGGAAAATGTTTAATAGTTATTTTCTATTTCAGATTGAATAAAAAAAAAAAAAAAAAAAATCAAACCTGAAAACTTGAGGTGATGTATTGGGAAACAGAAGTCCAGAACGTTTTGTAGCCATATTTTCTTTGAGATAAATTGGATTGATAAAATCATTCATGTACTTATGAATGTATCCCCAAAGTGAATAGGTCCTTTCTGCCAACCTATAAAACAAAAATGAACAGTTAAAAAAAAAAGTATCACAGTATTACATTATAACAAAGTATGAAAAAATATTAAAATGCTTATTTTACTAATAAAATTCCTATAACCATTATTTTTATCTGAAATTGGGTTTAAGATGCTTAATGATTTTCATGTCTATTAAAGGTTTTTGTAGTTTCCAGCAGAAATGGGATTATAGTTTGGGAGGTGAAATACAAATAATAGACTTCAAATACTACCTGAGGTCAAGTCTGTCTTTTTCACAATTACCAATGAAAGTTCCATATTGACAAGAATAAACATGATCATGTAATGTCAACAAAAATCGCTCATTGAACTGAAAAGCACAGGGATATTGTTGTGTCATTTGCCAGACACAGTCAATGAATTGAGTGAAAACGGGAGAGATTTCCTTTGAATCCACACTGCCAAGAAAGCCACAGCGATCAGTGAATTTATGGCCAAATGCTAACCATTCTTTTTCAATGATATCCTAAAAAGAAAAAAGAAATTATATCACAAATTATTTAAAGAAACTTGGCAAATTTTCTTATTGTAATAAAGTAAAATATTGAAAACATGTTAAGATTTTCCTTATAAAAAATAAAAAAGAGGAGGAAAAAAAAACAATCTAATATCTAACACAAATTTTAATTTCTTATTTTGAGAAATGATTAAAACAAAAATGTGTTAAAAATTAATAAATAAATAAAGAATGGAAGCTAATACTAAACACTTTGTCAGTGGAAAGCTATATCAATGGAACCTAATTTCAACAAATGATTTTCTGCAATACTAATAATACTTTTTACAAAAATAAATAAAAAACAAAGCCAAGAGATTAATCACAAGGAAAAAAAATATCACTTTATTCTTGAGTGAATTTGCTGGGGATGAACATAAAGTCAGCAAATAGCAACATGACAATCAACAACAAAATACTGCATAGGACAGTCACCAAAACAGCATTTTATTTATTTTCCAAAATAAAAATAGTCTACCTAAACCTCTCCTAAATTAAACCATTTTTTAAGTCAAAATATTAGCATAAAAGAATTAACTAAAAATTGTTTTTAGATAAAAAAAATAACTTACCTGAAATCCTTTTAACGTTCTGTAATAGGGATCTAACATAATGCTAGCCAGAGAACAAGTTTGAGCAGTACGGTCCCAACCATCTGAACAATGAACAAGGACACTTACTCCCTCTGACACAGCCTACAAGAGAGAAAATATTTGTAACATTTACCTCAATCTTCTGATACAAATAGTGTGGACATTTAATTAGCTTCAACAGGGAATCTATTTTTTTAAGAGAACAATATTTAGCAACTGGGGCCTTCTGTACCAAAATATTTAAAGCAATAATATAACATAAGAAATTATATATGTGTGTGTGTGTGTGTGTGTGCAATTTCAGATATAGCTAAAAATATATATGTAAAAGGACAATATGAATAGAGACAAAAGGAAAACTTAGCCAATGCATCTTGTCCTCTGATGGACTTTATCAAGGATGTTATTTTGCAAACTTTTGTTTATAAATATGTTGCAAAATAAAATCCTTACATTTGCCTTAATAAAGTCCATCAGAAGACAAAATGCATTGTATAAGATAAGTTTTCCTTTTGTCTTTATTCATTTGTGTGTGCATATATATGATGTGATAAGGCCTTCTATACCACAATGTATGCATACATATGTATTTAAAGATAATTAATTATAATATAATTATTAATTATAATAAGAAATATATATATATATATATATATATATATATATATATTAAGTCTGGGCCCAAATTATTCTGACACAAGCATGAGATTTTATCACAACTGTTTTGATCTATGTTCCTAGTGAGGAAGTAAAAGAAAACTGGGAAAGATTTAATGATTGCAAACAACCCAATAAAGTCCCAAAGGTGATAAGTGTCAAAGATGAGGGTATTAGACTAAATAATCTATGAAATAATTTAAATATCTGTCTCAAGATTTCAAATAAAGAAACTGTCATAAATTTGTAATTTTTTTCAGAGGTAGTAGGAGTGACATTACATGCTTGACTGTCCTGGTTTTTGCAGAAGATGAAAAAAATGTAAGTCATTTTAGAAAGTGATAAACATTTCCATGTGAATTCTTTATTTTAAAAATTCATGTCTTCAAGATACAGTTAAATTTCACATTTGTAATGCTTGCAAATCCATTATAAATTGAGACCAGTTTGGTTTGTTTTGTTTTATGGCATATCAACCTCAAAGGTTTATTTAATTCTAATAAATTTTTTTTTGTTTAAATACATAGGAATAAAAAATGTATTCTTTGTAATGAAATCAGTTTGTAAATCAAGTTTCATTAACACTTTTGGTAATAATCTTTTCTTCAATAAAGCACTGCAGGCAATATTTATTCTCTACATATCCGGTTTCTTAGTTTTATTTCTGCAAAGAGGGTTTCTTAATGAGAGTCTGGTTTTGTAGATGTATTTTTTTTAAACTCGTCCGTGAGGGGAGATCGGAGGAGAGTTATCCTCCTAGACTCTTCCTCTCTCACATTGGTATCTCATACCAATCCCCTCCCCTCAGTGGGTGTTAACAACTTCTCTGCCTTTCTCATACATTCACCTCCACCTATCACTCATGCTACCACTTGACAAATGATATCTCGGCAGTGTGGGTGTGGCTTGACTGGCCCTCTTAAAATTATTATTCAGAATTTTGTTTACAAAATCCTTTTTTTCTTTTTCTCATCGGTCAAAACATTTTTTCACAAACTCCAGAAAATAATTCTTATTACATCTTTCTTTTGGGGACACCCAAATTCACTTAGCCAGGACTCTACTGACTCATCAATCACTGTCAAAACCTGACATCTGGCTTCTCCGCTAAGTCAACTTTTAACTGGGGTCCGTGTTTACCTGAGAATCAAATTCTTTATTTTTCTCATGCCTTAAAATCCTCTTATCACCATTTTCAACGACGCTGTGTCTGATGTCAACAGTTTGAAAAAGTAATAATACCATTCTTCACGATTTTCTTCCTCATGCCAAAATTCTTACACATACCAGATGGTTTCCCTTCGCTGGACCCAATGATCAAAATTAAATGATATCTCTGAAAGATAACTAATATTGATTCTCTCTGCCTGTATCGCAGTTGTCTCAAGCTGAAATTTTTTTATGACTGCCATGTATCGGTTTTGTTTTTCTTTCTGAATTCTGTTTCCCTTGGCAAGACATTCCCTCACCATGGTATTAATCAAATTTGACAGAATCTCATATCTTGCTTTTTCTTACGGATTTTCTGTCTCGTGCAAAAAGTATCTTTTTTTTCGTAAATAAAATCAAATCTTTTTAACGTCGCTCAGTCTATCTTTCGATATAGCTCTTTCTCGTCTTAAGTCTTTCCTGTTTTTAATTTCTATGGTTAATTAGTTAGCCAATTACCATAGCTAAATAGTGTTACAGCTGTAGAGTTTATTATATGGATAATTATCCCAGTACTCTTGCCATTTTTTAAAAAAATATTTATCACCTCCTTAAAATTTGTATATGGAACCTTGATCCCTGTCTCCACATTTTGGCTGCCAGGTCTGCTCTACAGTTACTTTTATTTCAATGTGGCTAGGGATCCAACATATTATGTCTCTCTTTTTGTTCATTTGACTGACTTTCTGTAATATTTTAATAATCATTGGATTGTTGGATTTGTTCCCCTCCAAAGCTGATAAGAGAGAGCAAGCCTGAAAGAATTAGGGAGTTCTTTAGTTTGCTCTCAATTGTCTAAGCCTCTACAGTGAAAATCAAACTTCCCTATGGGTGGTGTTTCTTTTTGGCTGCACATTTGTCCCCACTTTTTGACCTGTCCATATAGATTGTTGTATAATTGTGGAAGTTTTCCAGTAGTTCCTGGAATTTGTCCAGAAATGTGAGAGGCAGTTTTTTTTCTTTGGGAAATTATGCATTTCAAGAATGACTTAATGACTTCAAATACTGGATACCATTGTTTCTTGTATATTTGATAATGAAGTACCCAATTCTTCAGCAATGGATTTCATCCTAAGTCCATATGGTTGTTTGGCATTTTCTGCTTGACAGAATTGATCACAATAATTTGTGTCAAATGTAGTTCTATAAGCTGGATTAGTTGGGCATGATGCAATGAATATACATACACCTGGTGTCCCCCTCACAATAATATGATTGGCTGGTGTCAGCCATAAATACAGACTGATGTAGAGGTACAGGAGGACACCTATTGCCTACCACTTCGACAAGGACCAGTCCATTATGGTTACCTGCTAGATTGTCCTACTCGGTTACAGTAGTCCAAAACCACTTTGCTACTTCGAACAAATATATCCCTTTTTGGGACATATCAGGGCATGATTTAATTTTTATATAATACTGCAATGCCAGTTTAATATGCTGTAGATGTGGAGGGGTTTCACTGGTTCTGTATATAAGCTTTCCACCAGGGATGTTCTAATGGCCTGAGCACTAATCTGAGCGCTTGATGGTAAGTTGTGTTGAGGATTTTTATGCACGACTTTCTAGCTGCCCCATAAATAAAACTAGCATAATCCAGTTTGGAATGGAGTAGTGATCTATATAGTTTGATCAAAGTGTATTGATTTGCTCCCCATTCAGTATGAGCCACTACACACAGAAGTTGTAGGACATTGCCACATTTCATTTTCAAATACTTCAAATGAGGGCTGAAAGTTAGTTTCCTGTCAAAAATTATACCTAGAAACTAGTGCTGTTCCACTACTGGAATTTTTGCTTCATCTAATTTAAAACATGGATCATTAAGTAATTTTCTTAATTTGCAGAAATGTATACATTTAGTTGCCATTTTAGAAAACGTAAACCCATTTTCCATCATCCTTTTTCTGTATTTTATTTATGCATTGCTAAAGTTGCCTTTCTATTGTATTTATATGTCGAGATTTGAAATCGTCAACATAGAGGGAGTATGTAACACCTAAGCTTAGAGATTTGACTATGGAGTTGATTTTAATGCAAAAAAGCGTCAGATATAATGCTTCCTACTCGGATTTGAAAATTTCAATTTTTTTAGAAAGTTCCCTATGAATTCTGTCTTATGCCCAATTCATGCAAATCTTTTAATATGCTGAACTTCCACGTAGTATCATAGGCTTTTTCTAAGTCAAAAAAGACTGCTGTGAGAGGTTCCTTTCAAAGAAATGCTTCCCTGACAATGCTCTCCAGCCAAACTAAGTGAACCATGGTACTTCTTTTTTCCTGAATGCACATTGGTAATTAATGATTAGGCCATTCTTTTCCAAATACCAACTCAATCTGTTGTTGACCATTCTTTCCATAGTTTTACACAGACTACTGGTTAATGCTATTGGACTGTAAATTCCAGTGTCTGAGTCATCCTTCCCAAGTTTTGGAAGAGGAATGATGAAGGACTGTCTCTACAAATCTGAGAAGTGGCCACTTGTCCATATCTTATTAAATAATTTTAACAACAGTAGCAATGATTTGTTTGGCAGCTGCTTTAGGAATTGATAAAAAGATAAAGATTCATTCAATTTTATAAAGATAGATGGATTGCACAAAGATAAATCAATTGCAGAATAACTGCCAGAGAAGGGATAAAAGTTGGCGATTTATAGATACACAGATTCCATACTTTTTCCTTTCTAGTTTGTATCTTTACAGCCCCATATGGTGCTGCAACAATTAAAATCCCCTAGTAACATAAAGGGAGCAAGGAAGTTGCCTCATAACTTCCTGGATTTCAGTTTCATTTATCTCTTCATTCGGTGGAATGTACACTGAGCAGATATTAACTGGTCTGTATAGTGTTACTTTTACAGCAATTGCCTGTAAATTTGTTGTTAAGTTCATCTAACTTTGTGGAACATCATTCCTGACTAGGATGGATGTACCACCTCATACCTGAGGACCAATGTCATTCATATAATTGTATTGCTGGTATTCTCTCTAATATTCATTTTATTATGCCTCTTAAGAAGTTTTCTGAAGGTAAATAACTGCCGGAATTAGGTTTGTTATCAACAGAAGGAGCTGGTTAATGTTTGCTATCACTCCACAGCAGTTCCATTGCAGTATTTTATACATACTTCTACTCGTCTTTATGGCTT